GCAACTGCACACCTGAAATCAAGCATAGATTAGCATTGGGCTGTGACGCAGATGAACAAGATTTGGTTGAGCAGAAACATCAGCCTCCAAACTAAATGCAGATTAGTCAACGTGATTGTGTTTCCAATTGTGATATATGGAAGCGAAACATGGACCATGAAGAAATCAGACAGGAGATAAATGTATGCTTTTGAGCTATGGTGTTGGAGGAGACTATTACGAATTTCTTGGACAGCACATATCACCAATCTCGAAGTCCTGGAGCGACTCAAACCAAAGCTCTCGTTAGAAGCCAGAATCGCCAAACAGTGATTAGCCTACTTCGGCCTCGTGATGAGAAGCCGCTCCTTGGAGAAAGATATCGTGCTCGGAATGGTTAGCAGACATAAAGGACAAGGCTGACCAAGATCTCACTGGCTTGACATCATTAAACAGGATACAAACCTGACATTTGCCGAAATAAAAGAAGCTGTATATGAGCGTCAAGGATGGAGAACGTTGATCCAAGGAGTGACCGAGCATCGACCACGATTGAACGGATAGTAGTCAATAAGCCTACACTGTAACGCCAATCAAAGAACTACACGACCCAGAAGCCAACAGTGCTTCCGGCCGCTGCTTTCTGCCAAAATGGAGGGGAAGTTTTGCAACGCAAAGTCAGAAGTAACGATCGATCTGTTAAGCTCACAGAACTGGCAGGAAAGTCACAAATAATCCTGAAGCTCAATTATCCCCATGCACATCCACCTGGACGGGGCGGTGGGCTTCGTCACTGTAGGGTAGATCTTCCGAACTGGAACCGAGCCCGATCGGAACAGAGCTGCTGGTCTGCAGAGCTGGTGAGTAAAATTTTGCAGTACTGTACCGTACATCTATGTATGTTGTTAAAATGATGTAGGTTTAAGAGTTTAGAACATTGCAAGAGTGTGGGAAGTGTTTACAACGCCTTAAAATACACTGCCTGGCCAAAAATAAAAAGTCCCCCCCCCCCCCACAAAAAAAAAAATGGTCACACACTAATGGTTCAAAACCAACCACGTTCATGCTCAATAATCCAGGTATACAAACAGTGCCAAAGAGACCATCTTAGCACCAACAAAACTGGTTTGTTCCACTTTGGAGTAAGCTGTTGGGGGAAGAATCAGTTTTGTGTTGTGCGCTTCCTTGACTGATGAAGCCTTCTGGATGAAAGGTGAAACGTTTCAGCAACAAAAAAAACTGTCCATGACCTGACTGAAAATTTTTGGGTCACACACTAATATTTTGTTGGACCACCTTTATCTTTGATTACATCATGCATTCACTGTGGCATTGTTTCGATAAGCTTCTGTGTTGTCACAAGATCTATTTTCATCCAGTGTTGCATTATTTTTCGCCAAAATCTTTCATTGATGGCAGATTCTCACCACTGCACAAAGCCTTCTCCAACACATCTCAAAGATTCTCAATGGGGTTAAGGTCTAGACTCTGTGGTGGCCAATCCATGTGTGAAAATGATGTATCATGCTCCCAGAACCACTTTTTCACAATTCAAGCCCAATGAATCCTGGCATTGTCATCTTGGAATATGTCCGTGCCATCAGGGAAGAAAAAAAATCCATTGATGGAATAACCTGGTCATTCAGTATATTCAGGTAGTCAGCTGACCTCATTCTTTGAGCACATACTGTTGCTAAACCTAGACCTGACCAACTGCAGCAACCCCAGATCATAGCACTGCCCCCACAAGCTTGTACAGTAGGTACTAGGCATGAAGGCTGCATAACTTCACCTGCCTCTCTTCTTACCATGATGCGTCCATCACTCTGGAACAGGCTAAATCTGGACTCCTCAGATCACATGACCTTCTTCCATTGCTCCAGAGTCCAATCTTTATGCTCCCTAGCAAATTGAAGCCTTTTTTTCCCAGTTAGCCTCACTGATTAGTGGTTTTCTTAAGGCTACACAGCTGTTCAGTCCCAGTCCCTTGAGTTGCCTTCACAGTGTGTGTGTGTAAATACTCTTACTTTCACTATTAAACATAGCCCTGAGTGCTACTGTTGTTTTTCTTCGGTGTGATTTCACCAAATGTTTAAGTGATCGCCGATCACGATCGTTCAGGATTTTTTCCAGCCACATTTCTTCCTCTAAGACGATGGGTCCCCACTATCCTTCCAGTTTTTAATAATGTGTTGGACAGTTCTTAACCCCAGTTTAGTAGTTTCTGCAATAATCTTAGATGTTTTCTCTGCTTGATGTCAATGATTTGACCCTTCTGAAACAGACGACATCTTTTCCACGACCACGCGATGTGTCTTTCGACATGTTTTTTTAAGAAATGAAAACATCTCATTATACCAGTTGGGGTTAAATAACTTGTTGCCAGCTGAAAGGTAATCGTCAATGCAGTAATTATCCAATAGGAGGCTTGTACCTATTTAGTTAAATCCAGGTGGAGACTTTTTTTTGGCCACGCAGCATATACAGTATATATAAGCACTGAAATAAATATAGTGTTCTTCAAACTGTTTAGAAGACAGAGCTGAATACACCTCAGACTGAAGAAGTCTTTTGGATGAAAGACGAAACGTTTCTACATTTTTTTGTTGTTGTTTTGCTTTGTTTTGTTTTTTTGAATGTCCCGAGGACCAGACGTAACTTTTTTAGATTTTGCTACCTGGATTATTGAGCATGCATCAGGATAGTGTTCTTCAAGGTTTTTCACCTGTCGTGGTGGTGTGTGCAATGTACCCCCCGCAATAATCGAGGGACTAACTTTATATGAATTCGCTTTACAAGTAGCGGTAGCAGCTGCTGTAGCACGTCCGGTGAAGCCTGGAGCATTTCAGACAGAAATATCACAATATTTCTGCTCAAATATTTGTGTAATGCAAGCACTTAGTGTACAATTTAATAAAGTAGCTCTGACTTTTTGAAACTGCAGCTGTTTTAATACTTGGTCCATTTGTCTGGGTCCCGTTCTTATCAGTGATGGGATGTAACAAAGTACAAGTACTTCGTTACTGTACTTAAGTACATTTTTCATGTCTCTGTACTAGAGTTAAACGTGGGTACTTTCTACTTTTACTTCACTACATTTCTATAATATGTTGCGATACACGTTACTTTCACGTTGTGGTTTTTAAAATTTTTCCTTAGTTTGAAAGTAACCAATGGTGAGAGGGGGTTGGTCCATTGAATCACTGCAAAGTGGGCAAGTAACATTAGACCCACCTTCAAGAAGAGCTGGGCCAATGACGTATATTCTAGTATATATGTCATTGAGCTGGGAGCACCCACAGCACCGCTAACACACCCAAAATGGATTCCACCGTGGAGAGTCAGCCAGAAGATGCGCTCCCCCATGGCCTTATTGAAAGACTGTTCAGTACAGCAGGACAGATACTCTCTCCCAAAAGAGCCAGACTGGACTCAAAAAACTTTGAAAACCAACTTCTTCTGAACTTGAACAAAAAAATTCTTGCTACAAAATTAAAATGTGTTTTCCTCCGGGTTCTTGGACTACAGTGGTCCCTCGTTTATCACGGGGGATCCGTACCCTGAAGCCCCACGATAAGTGAAAAACAGCGAAGTAGGAATATAGTAGTCCAAGTTGAAGTAAAGTAAACTTTATATTAAGGCTTTAGAAACCCTTCCCACACTCTTGCAATGTTCTCATTTTAACAACATACGTTACTAAATTTTACTAACCAGACTCTGCAGAACAGGAACGGCTCGGTTCTGGTCCGACCCGATGGATGGAAAAAAGTCCCGGTGCAGCATGACTGAAGCCCACCGCTCCGTCCAGCTTGATGTGCGTGTGCTGCTGCTCCAGGAGCAAGGCTGCCCAGGATTTAGTGTACCACCTCTGGCCCGGTCCGAGCCAGCACCGCGCGACCAGAACCAGGCTGAACCCCGCAGCTTGCAGCCTGCAGCTCCCAGGATCCGGGTCACACTGAGTCCAGATCAACTGCAGCCCAGCTACTCGCCAGTGAAGACAGTTTTTGTGTAGTGTTTGTGTTTGTGTGTGTGTTGCTGTCTCTAATCCCTGCGTCAATATTTTTCTCAGGCTGATCGGTCCAGGAGACACTTGACTCAAGCTGTGAATAAGAGGAAGAGTAAGCGTAAAACCTGCCGCCCCAGCATCTTCTCTCTCCTCAGCCACGACTCGAAATCCAACCCCCTACAGACGAGTTTCCATGACAACACAAAGGCAGCAGACTATTAGCAGGGGATAAAGGGGTATGTGCTAGCAGAGTTGCATAGCGCCATTATTTAACTTGATGCTGCTTAATTACACAGATACGTTTCTTTAAGGTTTGCAATAGAAATACACACCAGCTTGTAAAATAAGTCTGTTAAATAAATAAATAAATTCTCAGGTGACCGGAGTGAGGAGACAAGTGAAGCTTGATCCACCAAAGAGAGGGAAGTCGGGTCGTTCTGAAGCGTTCTCCGTCTTGGTGAGCCATCATACCATGTTGATCGTCTCTGGAGTTTAGTATTTGATTTGTGTTTAATCGAGACCTGTCCTCTGCAGGGACATCCACGGGCTGATGGTCAGAGCGATGGAACCAAACGGACCGTGCAGACGTCGGGTGTTGCAAGATGTGTTGTTCTGTCGGTTTCTCAAATCCTAACAGAGTGTGCACAGGAAGAAAAAAGAAGTAGAGTAAACCAGAGCTGCTTTAAAACCTTAAGATGCTAGTTTAGTTTCTGAAGTGAGGCTCTGTGGAAAGGTTAAGAATAACTAGAAAGTTCCTGGAGAAACTTTGACAGGGACTGCCTATTTATAATTAAATTATTATTAATAATAAATATTAATATGAATGATTATTAATATTAAAAATTAATACTGATTATTCATATGATTAATTATGTATATATTGTTAATTTATTCATTTGTAAAATATGAATAATTAATAATCAATATTAATATTCACACCAATAATTAGTATACATTTTAAGTATTACTTATTAATATTAATAATTATTGATATTAAAACAGATAATTATTAACATTAATAATTCATAATTAATATTTATTAATAATTTACTAATTAATAATAATAACGGGTGATAATAGGTAATAATAGGTGCCTTCCATGCATGTTGAACCAAAATGGCTCCGTACGTTACTCGGTTTCTGTGAAGAGTTTTCTCCTATACATTTCCTATGGTAAATTTGGCATCTTTATCTTCTCGGAGCCGGGCTGATCGTTTGGATATAACTTTTGTGGAGGTCCACGTTGCGGTTCGGGCCGCATTAAAGTTGAAAAAGATACGCTTTTCAGGTGTAGAATAATAAGTGGGCAGTCACCAACTAGTTCCTGGAGTGGATGAAATATTGTGTCTTTGTTCGCAAAATACGTGTCCGTGGTAACTCGAAATGCCAATAAAAGTAATAGCACACATCACGGAGCCGAGCCGGAAGTTTTGATATAACTTTTGTGGGAGTAGACGCTGTGGTTTGGGCCGCATTAACGGAAATAGAAATGTAGACACTCTTCCGAGGTGTAGAATAATAGGTGCCTGCCCCAACAATTATTTGTTTGCTCAAAATTATATCATAGGTATGTCTCAGTTGAACTTTTATTTAATAAATGCACTTTAATGGTCACATTAGCTGCAGGGTGGTGCAGCGAAATGAAGCTGGTTTGACGGTTGCTCCAAGAAGCGAGCAGAA